GCTTTAGAAAGATGAGGTTACAAGATTTGCAATGGAAAAAGAATAGAATCAAATGGATGTTTGAGCTGAAAGTTGCAATGAGTCAAAGTTGGGAAAAGAAGTTGACTTTCCATACTTAGAAATATTTCAAGTTTTTCTTCAAAAGTGACCTATAATATTTTTCATCTAAGCATGGCCTTCCTCTTGGAATTTTCTCTTGATAAAAAAAGATGGCATGAAATAGACCTCTTGAATGACATTTTGAAACTTGAACCATTCAAAATATCTAAAAACTGAGAGAGTTATGAATTGTTGAAGTTGGCAAAAGATCATGAAATGACCTATAATATTTTGTATCCTTAGGGCATCTTCCATCCATTTTCTCACTTTTCACATAAAAGAAGGAATAAAGTTCACATTCTCAAGATCACTATGGAAAAAGAGTGGGCTCAAGGTAATAAAAATTGACCAAGTTATAATCATTTGAAGTCACACATGGGAAATTAGGGGTTCATCTGGAGGACTTGTAACCTTTCTTCATCATCAAGCTTCTTCCACATGAAAACTCCTTGAAACTTTTGAAGTGATTTGTTATTAACCCCTTAAAGAGAAGGATTTTTTTGGAATCACTCAAAAATACCAAAATATGAGCAATATATACTTCTTTGAAGTTCAAAACCCTAGCTCCTAGATCAAGAACATGCTTTGAAGAACTTTGACAATTTTAAACAACCTTCTTGTACCAACACTTTTGCTTTGTAGATAGAAGTTGTTGAGGATGATAATGTGAACTCATAGCAACCAAAACCACTTCCATATCTTGATAATTGAGAGAAATATGCACTTGTGACCAATGGGAACAAGGCCTTGTCCAACCATGACAACTTCCTCAATCAACCCCTTGTACTTTTGAATGAATCTTGACAACTTTGAAATGTAGTGACCCAAAATAAACCTTGTCATGCCATTTCTTCCAAAAACAAATTCAAATGGTGAGGTTTGAATTTCTCAAGCTTCATTAACTAGGGCATGGAAATAAACTCATGAACCCATGGATCAACTTGCTAAGCCACATTGCCTTGACCTACAAACCAACTTTGCATTTTATTAATTAAAAGAAAAGTCAAAACAAAACATGCATGATGACAAAAGAAAAACAAGTCAAGGTGCTTGGTGATTCCTCAAAGAGCAAAGCTAAAGATAGGGAGGAGAACCAAAAGCCCTAATGTGAACTTGTTGTGATTTAATTAATATGGTATGATGAAGGGATCTTAGGGGCAAAAATTAGGCTACAACAACGTGCTAAGAGTTTTACTATCACACCTATTCCGTCGAAATACTAGTCAAGGGAGATGGTTTTCTTTTGACTGGGGGAACAAGTGTATTGGTTTTCCATACTATGATTTGATCGACTGACTGGTGACTCGTGACCGACAAAAGACCTTCATATGAAAGCGAGACTTACTAAACTAACTGACTGGTGACTCGTGACCAACATATAGTGTTGAATTGTTTATGTGAAATAGAAGATAACGTATAGATCTTGCTCGATAGTAAACAGAAAATAGATAAAGTACACAAAAGATATAATTGAAAGATAAAGGATTTCCATTGAAATAAAAATGGTGATTCACGTACATCAAGCACTCTTCACTCTTGATTTCCTAACGCTCGGAATGATAGAGTTTGACAAGTGATTTGAGAGTACAAGTGAACACACGCAAACTATACTAAATCTGCTTATTTATAGTGTTTACAATGTAACTACCTAGATAAAATCTACGACTAATATTAACATATTGAGGTAACTACCTCACTAGATGTTGCCACCTATTTGGCACTCAAACACATCGTGGATTGCTGGTAACTGCTCATGATTTTGAAGTTCCACCTATTTGGCGCTTAAATACATCGTGGATTGCTGGTAACCGCCCATGATTCCTATAAACCTCTTGAATCTAAACCGCTTCTGCCTTGCTTCGACACTTTCTTTCTGGCAAAGAATAACCATACTTCCTCTAAGTCCAAGAAACCCTTTTTTGTCGACTAAACCCATTTTCGACCAAATCCTTGTCTTTCACCCTTTGGTCGACTAAACCAAATTTGACTTCTTGACATATGTTCTTTTATTTCTTTCTGGTCGACGTAGTTCAGTTTCGACAGTTTCAGTATGACTCCTTTTAAGCATTAACTCTAACTTAATAAAACCAACTTTTCAAACACTGACTCCCGTTTCCCAGAAAACCCTTACTTTGGAGGATGACCCTTAGCTTATGAGACTTCTTCATTTACTACACGTACTTGAATACCTTAAGATTTTCCAAGGTAACAGTAGGTGAGTGAGTTCTCCCACTTATATATGCTTAAGTCTCCACATTCATATCCAATGTGGAACTATTTCACCACTTACTGACACTTGCTATATTATTCCAACACTCTCCCTCAAGTGTGAGTCCACCATGCTCTCCACCTGTATCGCCATTGACATCTTGCAACGAGACACCACTTCCTGGGCACATTTCGATACAAGTCTCTTGTGTTCCCTTTCTCGAACCAAAGGCTCTGATGCCATGTCAGATGGAGTTACTAAGAGCATTGATACATAGTGTAAGACTAGACACCTTTGTGAGAGACACACCACTTATCCACCTAAAACCTTTAGGTGATAGGTGAGTGGGTTATCCCCCTTATATATGCTTAAGTCTCCACATTCATATCCAATGTAGGACTATTTCTCCACTTACTCACATTTGTTATATTATTCCAACAATTTTTCCTATTTTTGGCATTCTTACATCTAGACCAATCTGTAAGACATTCTCATTTGATTCTAAATTTACTGTGAACACTTTCATTCTACCACTAAAATTCTTTACCCCTAGGCTCGAAACCTCTTCATTCTCTCAATGTCTCCTTTTCTTCTTTTGTAGTCCTTTGTGCTATCGTATCACACACATTATTTGCACAATTCTTTGGTTATCCGAAGCCTCCGTCAAATATTTTATATTAAAAAATATGTTAAATATGTTTTTGGTCCCCATAAATATATCATAACTCAATTTTAATTCTTCCATAATTTTTCATCGAATAATAATCCTCCTAATGTTTTTTTGTCTACATTTTTTATCCCTCATATAAGCATCTATTAGAAGACACGTGAATTTTTTTATAACGGGATGTATACTTAGTAGTGCTAACATGGCAAAAATGTGGATGTGACATACTACATTACTAAAGCATACTCAAATCAATAAAAATTTATAATTAAAGTCATAGTTAATACGTAGTAAATTCAATCTCAAAATTCACACACACAGTACTTTAAACTCTTATAATTGAATTATGGTATATTAGGAACAACATTTGATGTAAAACACCATATGTCGTCCCAATTTCCTCTTACCTTTATATCCATAACAAAAACTCTTTATTGGACGGTGAACCCATCTCCAAGTATAGTTTTACAATCCAATCAAATATTTTTATAGTTGTTTAATATTAATTTTTTTCAATATGTCATCTTTGTGATAAGATGCTTCTCTTTTTTCTTTCTTTGTAAAACATATTAATTATAATAAGATTAAAAATCGATGAAATACTAGGGGTGTTCGCGGTGCGGTTTGAGCGGTTTTGAAGCAAAAAATCACCCGAACCGCAAGAGAAAAAAAATATGCGGTTCGGTTTGGTTCGGTTGACTTTTAAAAATAAATCTGAACCAAACCAAACCAAATTAATGCGGTTTGGATTGGTTCGGTTGGTTCGGTTTTTTACAAAAAAAATTATTAAGTCATACAAACAAATATAGAGGAAAATATAATTTTGTATTTAATTGTTCGTACATTACCATAAAAAAATTTATAATTGTCAAAATAAATTTATAATTTGATACATAAAATTGCGTATTATAATTTTATCTAAATCTAAAGAATGATATAAACAAGATTGCATTCTTAAATAAATATTATACAAAGAATACGATAAAATATATTTTGTGAAAATAGTATTTATAAATGAATAATATTTTATTTTTTATGATTTGTAAATTAAAATGAATATAATACAAAGTATGATAAAATATACACATAATACATGTTTATTTCTCTAAAGAATTAAAGAAATATATATTGGTTAGTAAGATTTTATAACATAATGCGGTTTAGTTTGGTTTGGTTTGGTTCGGTTTATAAAATACAAACCGCAAATCAAACCGAACCGTGCAGTTCCGCGAGAAGATGATCCAAACACATCTGAACCAAATACGATTTTTTGCGGTTTCGATTTGGTTCGGTTTTACGGTTTTCTATTGGGCCGGTTTAGTTTTGAACACCCCTATAAAATACAATAAATATAAGTATATTAGTGATAAATAATAATAAATGCTGGCAATATTTCATATTTAAAAAGAACATATAATTTGAGATATATAGTTATTGCAAAAGGAACAATTATAATGAAAGAGAGGGCTAATACTATACATTAAAAATTGTAAAAGTGTATTCTTATCCAAAAAAAAAATTTGTAAAAGTGTACCAATGGTTAGGTTATATGGTTTGCTCTAGAACAGTTTGTACGATAACATTCGGTTCACTAAGAGTCCTATTTATCATGTATTCTCTCCGTTCTCTTTTATAAAATTTTTTTGACCTTTTAAATTTATTAAATAAATAATATATTTAGACTATATATTGGTTAGATATATCAATTATTCAATGAATCTAAAAAGTTAAAATTTTCTTGTAAATAAGAATGGATGGAGTACTATCAATTTACTTGGACTCCAAGCATAGCAAGAGTTAAACTAATATAAATAGAATACAACAACTTACCTATAGAAATTATAACACCAGCTTACAAGTGTTAATTAAATTGATATAAACAACCACACCTCTACGAATTAGCATAGCAAGTAACAATAAACACACATTAATTAAATAATTAATTAGTATACAAACAACAACATACAAATACAAGCTCAAACAACATAAACAAACACCAAACAAGAATCTAGTTTCATACATAATTCACCTCAAGTTCAAAGTTGGTTTTTTCTTCTTTTGTTGTTTTGTCAAATGAAGAGAAAATCTTCCAAACCCAAATTTCTTTCTCTTAGCAGAAAACTGCTTCTGACCATTTTCTTTCTCAACTTGCTTTTCAAATTCAAAACATGATGGATCATTGTTTTGTTTACCAAGCATCTGACCCAACGACACTTTCCGTTTCATCGAACCTCTTTCTCGTATCATCCCACCTTCAAACTCTCCCGGCTTCATCAGTTTCCTGCTCAATATTTGTCCTATCGATAGAGTCGGCTTAAGAACTGGTTGTTGAACTTCATCATCAACCTGATTCATTCCATATACATCGAATAAACGAGCGTGTTTATGATGGTGAGAAGGGTTTTTGAACTTCATATTGTTATGCATCGATGATCGCCTTTTTTGACCCTCTGATCGCCAGTTTCTTAACGCTTCTTCGACTACTAACTTTCCTCGAGTTGCAGCCTCTACTCTCTCCAAAGCTTCTTCAAGAGCCACTTTGCTTGTTTTAATTTCTAATGTAGCTTCCTCAACCCTCTTTAAAACATCCATTTTCGATAAATTTGCTTTATCAACTTGAGCCATCGCATCAACAACTCTCTTCTTTGATTGTTCCTCGGCTTCACGAGCTTTGCACATTAGAGCATTATACTCTTCAAAGGTTAGAGTAACTCCGTCGCGCTTTTGCATACAATCTCCATCATGATAAGATAGCGCTTTTATCTCAACCATTGCAGCAGCTTCGGCCGCTTTAGCAGCTTCCTTCATTTTCCGCGCAGCAACCAACCTTATTTCGGATGTTGTTATCATAGCTTTTGTCTGTTCAATCTCAGACATTGCTCTCACGACTTCCGATTTCGCAGCTTCTCCCATTTTCTTGAAACATTCTGCCTCGGAACTCAGCCGTTGAAACTCCTTCGTAACATCAGAAGGTTCATCCGAACCACATTCGATTTCAGCATCTTTCACTACTTGCAGCTTAAGTCTTGTTTGGTTTAGCTCTTCCTCTAGACAAGTTAGTTTCGAAGAATTCTGAGTCAACCTCACACGCGTTTTCTCGAGAGAGATTCTTTCCTTCTCTAATTTCTTATTGAGTGACTCAACACAAACTCGAACATCAGCGATATCGTTCGTAGACCGGTTTAAATTCAGTTTCGCCTGCTTCAATTCCTTTAATATTAAACCAGGCGATGTTGAATTGTACCAAACCCGACTCACTTGATTTTCCTTTTCTTCTTCTTTCTCATTCTCCTTTTTGTCGCATAAATTCATCTTAATATTCAAATTTGCTTCAGATTCTTCTGCATGAAGCTTTGATTTCAAATTTTCAACAAGCTTTTTCGTACTTTCAAGTTCTTTTAAGACATCAAGTGTTTCCCTTTCTTTGAGTATAAGCTCTTTTTCCAATCCCACTGTTTGTTCTTCCAATTTTCCAGCATCAACCTCGCTTTTGTTTTCCTGCTAAAGAAAAAAAAGATAGAAATTTCGATTATTTCACACAAAACATGATCAAATTCATGATTTTAAAATGCATTCCGCAACCGCACTGGAGGGCACAATATTTCTGATGTTTTGATTATTTCACACAAAACATATGTTTACATATTTTTTATTATTTATATTTAGTTATAGTTCACCCAGATCCAATTAACCCTTAAATTCCATAAATAAATAAATAAATAAATAAACAAATAAATAAATAAATTCCAAAAATGCAAAGTTTGAAATGAACCACATTACAACAAAACAAAACACTATTAAATTAATTTCCAAAAGAAAAAAAAAAATAAAACGAAATAACATAAACACAAATTTATATACCTGAGGAGTGATGAGGTTAACATTGTTAGTAGGTTTCCAGTACCCAACACCGCCGAATTTCGAAACAGCTTCTCTCACAGACTCAAACGGCGCCGAAGTATCGATCTCAGCTCTCAAACCGTTCTCCTTCAAACCCGGTTCGACCCGGTTCACTATCACCGTATCAGGAATTTCCATCAAATGTGAAGAAGAAGAAGAAGAAAAAAACAGTAGTGAAAAAAGACAAGAAAGAAATGAAAAGGTTTGTGATGGGAAGTGAAGTGTTTGGGAAATTGGGATTAGTGGAATGAAGAAAGTGTGGGAAGTTAATGTAAACATAAAGATTAGAAACAAACGGTCTTGTCTAGTCAACTTTGAGTAGTGTTGTGAGTTGTGACATGTTGATGTTGAAATGGAACCGGAATCATTGCCTTGATTTTCGAAATTTTGTGGGGCCTACTGAACACACTGTGGCTAGGAAGGACAGGTTAGTGTCAACGGTAACAAACAACAAAAGTGAAAGATGATTTTGTCGATAAAGAAGTGCAAGAGTAGTACTAGTAATTTACATTTACAAAATAGTTTAATTGCACTCTTGGTCTTTGCATTTTGATTTAACTCATAAAATTGATTCTGTCTTTTTTTTAAATCGAAGAAAATAGTTTTTATACTATCATGTTTTTTGTAATTTTAATTCTGACCTTCATTTTCTTCTTCAAAAATATTGATGTGTCGAATTTTTAATTGATGTAGCCAAAAAAAATTACATATGTGATAATGCATATTTGGAAAATATTATTTATAAATTTATGAAATTAATTTTTAAAATTTGGCAAAAATATTAAATATTTTTAGAAATTACAATCAATAAAAAATGAAAATATATAAGTGGGAAACATAGTGTTGTACTCCAAAATTTGTCCTCCCATTTTTATTCAAGACATGTTCATTGAGGTTCTCAATTGCTCAAGGATGATTAAGAATTGATCAGACAAATTCTCCTCCTAAACAATGAACCTCCAACTAGGGTTTCAATTTTCATCAAGATGTGTGAGCTTCAATGGTCTCAAATGTTTTCCATTGTCCTAATATGACTTCAAGATTGTCCATGACAAATTTCATGCCTTACACTACAAGTTTACTCAGTCAATTGCTCAAATGTTTGAAAATCAATTGTAATAGGTCAAAAGTCAAATGTAGCTATATACAGTCAAACTTCAAGGTTTTTGGTCAACATCAACATTTTGAAGTGATATCCATAATTTGATCAAGGGTTGATCATGATTCCTCAAGAAATACTCCTAATCTATCAAAAGTTAAGAATTGCTAAATTAGGGTTTCTATAGGAAAAGTCAACTAAACTTTGACTGGGCATAACTTTCACATACTTCATCCATTTTTCCCCAACCAAAGCTCATTTTGAAGAGAATATAATTTTCTACAACTTCTCTTTTTCTCTCAAGTCCAAGAAATTCACCATTGGAAAGATACAATCTCATACATTACAGGTCACTTTTATAAAGTCGACAAAAGACATTTTTTCCCAATACCATTTATATCAAGATAATTTCTGCAAATGCAAAAGTGGTCAACATAGAGGTTGCATGGGACATCTTGAGATTTCTAAAAAGTCAAAGATCATCTCCAAAAGATAAAAATTGAGCAAGTTATGGCTTGCACAAGGTTGACAATTTTTGAGAAAGTCCATGAAGTACAAATTGAGAAATATTGAACTTGTGGACTAATGGGCCTAGGTTTTAAGGTTTGAAAGTGTTTACAACATGATTAAGAACTCCTAAACCGATTCATGCATTATTTTAATTTTTATTTCATTTATTTTTTATTTTATTCATTTAAACTCAAAGTAAATCAAATAAAATGCAAGATTAATGCACAAGGCATGTAAGGCTTAAGATTTGAATTTCTTGGGGTCCAAGTAACTCATAGCAAGGTGTCAAAATCTTGACAACCAAGCAAATATCATTAAGACAAGATTTTCACAAGTTTGGAAAGTTTTTCAAATGAATTTTTGAAACAAATCATGCAATTGATACCATGAGAGTTCTTCCATTATTTTTTACCTAAAATCCTGCTTTATATAAATACAACACCCTCATACACTAGAGAGCACGAAATTGGCTGCCCAAGAACACTCTCTAAAAACCTCAAATTTTGTCAAAACTAGGGCAAAGTCAAAACCAAAAATCCAGCCACTTTCAGTCCAAGCCATCAATTACAAATCATTCCTGAGGTATCTAAGGGTAAGAATAGGTCGAAAGTCATGGCCATTGATGCTTGAAACAAGCATATTCATCTTCTCCGGTTTTCTTTTCTTTCAAACATTCATATAATTAGTTTCATGCATTGCTAATGTTTATTAACTGCTCAAATGAGTTCCTGTTGTTACGTAGAACAGGAATGAATCACAAACAATAGCTTGGCTTGGTGGATGGGGCGTCTGACTGTGACCCAAGGGGCATGGATTCAACACCCACCCCATGCATTTTTCACTTTTTTAACTATTTCCTTTTCTAACCCTTTTCATTTATTTATTTTTCACTTAATTTATTTTCTATCATTAATTTAATTAACATATAAAATCACAAAAAAATAATTAAATATTAGTTTTAGGCTTTTAACTAATTAAAATAATTTTTGACATTAAAGTTTTTTTGATTTAATCAATATTGATTATATTTCATAATTAACTTGTAAATTAATCAGAGTTAAGTTTTTAATTATTAATTCACACTTTTATTATTTTCCAAACAAAAAATACCAAAAATATATTTTCTAACACTTAGAATCTTAGGTTTTAATTATTTTCTTAACATTTTTATTATTTTTATTTCTATTCATTTGCTATTTATATTTATTAAACAAATTGTATAGGTCGCATAATAATTGTAATAGCCGTAGTTTAAATTCTCGCAGTTTCATTATTTATGTAACTACGCCAAATTCCTGTAATAGCATATGAACTTTATTTCTTGCCTTTATAATTCTTGTAAAATTGTATATATTTAACTGCTAGTAATTAGGCATGTAAGGCAAGATCTAAAAAGAAACAGTAGAAAACCCTAATTTCAAGATAAATATAACTGAATTGAACACACTTCTCACACTTGCACCTCTAGGGTAACCTCTCTCATTGCCTCAGAAAACAATGGTCATGTCCCTCGAACATAGGGATACCATTAGCAAAGACCCTTAGTATAAATCATCATAAAAGATCATAGTCCCTCGATGTCCCTCGAAGTTGCCTACGGTATATGATCTTGTCCTTCGATGTTGCCTATGAATATATGATGATGTCCCTTCAAATTGCTAAAGGTATCCCTACATGTCGCCTTCAATGACCATAACGACGACCCTACGCCTGTCCCTCAAACATCCAACAATAGGGCTACCTTTTCACTAATAGTAGGATAACACTGTCTAAAGGTTAGGAGGAAAAGAACGATATTTTCGAGTATAAGTAGATAAGTTCTTAGATACTTGCTCAAGACAACTTTTTGCACCTACACAAAGAAAAAAATTTCAAAATACTTTCAAAAAATGTTCGCCTTGTCAACACTCTTAAGGACTGATACAAGAGTTATCACGAAACAAATCGCCGCACTAAGGAATTTTCAAAATAATTTTCAAAACACACAAAGCACAAGCAATTTTCAAAACATGAGCTAAGCATCTAAGAGCCCGTAGAAAACTATGGATGAAAAGGGTTCTAACACGTTCCCTTTCCATAATCTATCCCCCTTACTCAGAAAACTCCCGAAAGGACTTTTTTTGTTCTTTTCACCCTTTCCTTTGTTAGATAAAAGAAAAGTCGGTGGCAACTCTTACTTACCGCAACATTTGTGATAAAATGCAAAACCAATATTAAATAGTCGGTTCTGCCACCGTATCACAGAACTGACGACTCTGTTGGGGAGTTATGAAAAGTGAGGTTACCTTAGAGTTAGTTTATTATTTAAACTGATTTTGTATGCTTTGTTTGCTTTACCTTTTGGGATTGTTTGGGTTGTTACTATAGATCCTACACCTGGATCTAGGGCACCTTTTAGGTAAGTAGCAATAGATCGTGGAAACTGTGCAGGGTATACCAAAACAGTTGAAGAGATAACTACGTTGATGTGACACTTTGGTTGGTACCGGTAGCCCTTGAGTAATCAAGGAGAATACAGGGCTGCTGCATGGTGTCATAAAGCATCAACCAACCTTAGAACCTTTAATTGACCAACTTAGCCATTAGGAAGTAGTGAGATAGCCGCCTTTGGTGTAGTCCTAAGTCGGTTGATACTCGATACTAAACTCATTGAGATTTTACTCCTGAGTTTTGTTTGATGGCAAGTCAGTTATCAATCGGAACAAAAATTGTGGGAAAGATCAGTGATATTGAGATCCCTTAGAACCCAGTTACTGTTACTAGGACAGGTTGATCCAATTAAATTTCAAGAGGGTACTTACCTACAGACCCCAGGAAAGCCCAAACCTAAGGCTGCTTGTGTGATTTGTTTGCTTTCAACTTGAGCTACTTGTAGGGTTTTTATCTAACAACATGATCTCCTTGCAGGATTTATTTACAGTTATTATCCAGTAACCTAGACTTCTTAGACTCACTTGTCTTCATTACCTTACACTTTTCTTAACGCATAGCATACACATCATAATATCATGCCATAGAATTTCCTTAACCATTTCAAGGATCTCAAGGGTTTGTGATGCAGGTTATGATAAATCAGACGTCTAGCAAGGGGCAAGGGAATTTATTTTCCTCTAGCCAATGCCGTCAAAAGATTAAAACACGACAACTTGAGTCAGGGGCTATGACCCATTTGATATAGTGAGCTTAACTCTCGTAAAAGTACACTCAACGATACGAATTTCTTCAATCAAAGTTGCAAATTTCAACTTCTGACATTTTCTTGTTTATCCTGTGAGATCCTTGAAAACATTGCATACATGCCATTTCATAACAGGTCTTCCAGTACATGTTTCTCATCTTTTTGCTGTTTATTTCAGCAAAAGAAATGTCCCTTGAACAAACAGTAAAAGACCTTCAAGCTCAAAACGCTCAGTTCCAACAAATGTTCATGGCTTTGGCCCCAAGGGAAGGAAGGACTGAAAGCTCTCGTCATCAAAGAGAAGAATAAAAAGGCAAAGAAACCGACTGGCATCTTAAATATGGTAAGAAG